GAAAATACCTCGTTGTATATAAATGCATATATGAACTCAAATGCATATAAATATGAAACAGTATATCCTGCATAGATAGAAAGATGTTACCTAGAATTTAATTTGCAGAGCAAAATTACACTGCACATGTCTTCATTAGAATATATTCACAGAGACAAGAAGCACGCACAACATCTGTATGTCCACATTTAGTAGGTTAAAATTTAGACATCAGACTTTTATCCTTATTAAGAAACATTTTGGCTACAGGGAACATGCTCTTGTGCTTTATCAGGTAACAAATATTCATGAATTTCTGAAGATTACATTTACTGAAATTTCTCATTAGAAGAGTTTTCTGCGAAGAAAAGCATTCCTGATGCCGAATAACGTTAGGCCATTTAATTCCATGAGAACAAAGCAAAGTGTTACGGATTCAAGATTGAGGCTTGGAACAAATATGAGCATAGGAAAAGATTAGAGAATTGAAGGAAATACTAATGTATATACTTCATTAAATACTGCATTTGTTTTAAAAATAGTAACGAAACTACAATCCAAAGCTCGCCTGCTACAGCCGTTACGGCTTCAGTCCAGCTTGTTTTCCTATTCCAAGCCATGCTGAATGAGGTGGGAAGAAAACAGGAGTATTATGGCTTTCTGATACACAAACTGCGCCAGCCCTGCAATAATTAGCAAGGTCTAGAGACCATTCTAACATAACCTAAGGCGTGGTCATAATGACTATTCCTGTAGAAATTACTATAAATAAAGAAAGGATTTCAGTGCTATCTCGTTCACTTCTTTTCCTGTCTTACTGCCTTTAAAGGAGGTGGTTTGGGACCAAGCTTCACCATTTTGTCTTAAGAATTCCTTTCCCCTGGGGCATTCTCAGTTGGCCTCCTTAATGCTCAGCATAGATTAGCTAATAGGTACATCCTGAGGCTTTAAATAAAAATGAAGTTTGTTTCTTGCACATGGAATTATGGAGAACTGAATTTACGTAATAACAGATTTAACACACAATAGGAGATTTTGGACTGTGTTTCTTCTGCAGTTGTATGTCTTTTAGCTCTTGCAATTATTTAACTTACTGATTTGGATAGTGGTGAGACTTAATCTCACTTCTAAAAGTACTATCAGAGGATGCTTTTGCAGATATTAAAAGAATAACAACTTCAGTTCAGACTCATCAGTTTCTTTGACTTTAATTACAGTTCTCGGTAACCTGAGTTGCAGACAAGTAACACACACACAGAAACACTCACAGACAAGAAGACTTGCCCTCAAGGGAAAACATCAACAGGTTTTCGCAGCCTGAGGAGAATCAATAGCAAATACTGAACAAAACATCTTACAACAAAATATTTAATAAAACTCACAATAGGAATGTATTTCCATTAAATATAGGCAGTAATAATAGCCTGTAGGAAGAGATCAAACTGTGTGAGGAAGGTTAAAAGTTGCCTTATATCTTTAACCACTGAGATATTTTCTTCCACTTGGAACATATTATTATTACTATTATTATTTACAAACCTCATAAGAGCAAAGGAAAAATATGTCTGTTCTCACATCACATCATTAATCTTAGGTAACTGCAGCTGCATCAACAAAAAGGGTTTATTTTGTGTAATGTATTCAAGACATTGATATGGAGTCAAAGTAAAACACTATCCAGTGTCAAAAAAGTCAGTCTTAACCTCTTACTGTTAGATATTGTCAAATGTTTTCTTTTAACATCAGTTCTTTCTAATTCTGACTAATACGTCATCAAAATACCTTGTGAACTAGGTTACCAGGTAGGTAATAGTATCACTAGAAAATGAGACAAAGCATACAAGCGGTGTGTCCTAAATCTCATCAAAGACCAAATTAGAACTCTATAAAACTGGATTAGAGCGTCAATATCTGATTTCAAAAGACTGCAGAAACATTTCCATCCTTTTTTCTACCTGCATTCCCCTTGTCAAAAAATTAGAGAAGTTACAGCTTTACTTAGTCTCAGATGGGATGTTACATATTTCATCGTTCCTTAGCTATGACAGATAATGAACAAAAAAGATTTTTCCATTCATCCATCAAGCTGATCCACTACAGCAACAGGACATCTTTGGGTCAGAGGTGTGTCTGCGTTAAGGTCTCAGACTTTTATGATATGTAGCAGCTTGGCATTTTTACACTGCCTTTTCAAGCTGTCATTTCAGTTTCTTAAAATATGTCCGTTTTTACCTTCTGTAGGTATACCAGTAGTACCTATAACGTTTCTGCATGGTTGGCACTCCTCAGCTTTTCACAGTCTTGCTACACTCAAACTTTATAGACAGCAGCCACTGCTACCTCAGTGGTGCTCGCCCATTCCCCATCACCCGTCCATCTTTTTTAAGCAAGAAAGCAAGCCCGTTGGTGGTTTTTTCCGACAGATCTTTGATGTCAAAGTGAACATGGACCTGCTTTTTAACTTGATTTCTAGTGCCTGGGTGCAAGTGATTAAATCAATTACTTGATTTGCGTTCACATAGTTTCCTTAGGCTGATAGGCTTAACTTACGTCCTTTAGGAAAATATTTTAAAGTCTTCGTTTACTGTCTCTTTGCATTTCCATGCATTCATTCAATTAATCTTAGTTGTCTTCCTTGGAACACTTGGAAGATTTCCCTCCTTTCTTGAATACATATACATTTTTAAAATGTTTTCAGTTAGGTATATTCTTTCTCTGCTTTTATTCACTGTTTACGCAAGTAATGGGTTCAAGTGTGTGTTCACAAATCAGTCTTATCTTTTTTGCTCTTCCTTTAATTTTCTCTTTATCAACTACAGATATCATACTAAGCAGGTCAAAACAAGATTTCAGCTTTGAGCAGTGCTAGCCCAAAATACCATCTGGGGTATTATCTGCTGCCGAATCTATTGAACTGTTTATATCACATTGTCATGATATAATTGGCCGTATTTCTCCATATTTCTCATCTTATGTTGTTACTGGAGAATATTCTTGGCTTCTGTGTCTTCCGGAATTTAAGTGTGCTACTTCCATAGTTTTCTATTCCAATAAAAGACAATTTATTTCTTTTTAGGAGATACTACAACTGCTACTATATGTGTAATATTTCTCATATTTAAGGATATATCCTCTGAACATCCTTCTCTTTATCAGAATGAACAAGCTTGCTTAGGCTTCATAAGGTCTGGTGGTCTCAGATATATTCCTACTTTATTTGGCAAAAACAACTGTGGTGCAACAGTCCATTCAGAGGTTACCTAAGTTATGAATTAACTGAATTCTGCCTGGTACGTTTTACCGTAAATACCTTTGAAAATTCCATTTTTCTTTTCTCTTCGGCAGACTAGTAGCCATACATGTTCGTAAAGAGTAGATGCAATACAGGGTACCAGAGGTGTTTTTTCTCCTTTTCATCTTCATACATGCAAATAGCCTGAAATCAAGATGATGTAATGAAAAATCAGACAGGCAAATGTTTAATTCAATTATGAACTGAAATTCACAGCACTATCATCACTTCGCATGACTCAGATGCAGCCTAGTTTTGCATTGTGTCCCTGAAGTTATGTATCATCTCTAACAGTCCCTCTTCACTTAGTCAAAAGGACTAGCCGATCCACAAATATACTGGTTTAAAGTAGCATCTGCAGATACTGCAGGATTAGATTGTGATAAAAGTTTTGAAGGTTAAAAAGAAAAATACTTGACTTTTGTTAGGTGAAGTGACTGGTGCTAGACATTAGTCACACACTTTTTCAACAGAAGGGGAGAAAAACAAAGAGCACACAAACAGCGCAGGGAATACACATTAATCATTACTAAGACTGAAAAAATAATCATGATTAGATTACAATTTGCATGATCCTTGTAGCAACAAAAAGCCTAAGGGAAAATGTCAATATTAACTCTGTGCTTATAATACATACTCTTAAAAGAGATTTAAGGAGCATTCATTTTTCATCTTCCAAAAGGCAGGATCTTATGCTAGCACTCTTTACTGGCACTAAATAGTCCCCCATTCTCTGAGCAGTTTTATTTAATGGAGTTAGGTTTAGCAGCATATACTATTTTTTTTTTCAATTTTAGTGTACAGCTTGGTTATTAAGAAAGTCCCAGTGGATAATATAAGCAATTATGTTTACTCTCAAACCTGCTTTTCCAGAATTTGGATGATAAAAATTCCATTTACAATAAATTAGAATGAATATCCCATTTTAAGCCTTCCAGTTTCACTTCTTGGGAAGCTGTTTGAAAAAAATGTGCTTCACACTGTAAGCTTGTCATTGTCTAAAAATGTATGGTCTTTAAAAACATCACCTCTTTGCAATTTTGTTGATATTTTCTGGAACTTTAAAGTGTGCTCTGTAAATAAACGTATGCCCGGAGTTTTTATACTTCCCTCACTTGTTCTTTCAGCACAGTTTGTCAATTCTTATTTTTAATGTGAGAAAAACATCTCTCCTGACCTCCTTCGTATAGAAGTGTAGGTGGCCTTAACCCTCTGGCTTACTCTATTCAAGGGTCAGCCCAGGGGGCTGGATTGTGTCATGTTTATTCAGCACTGGTGGACACGTGTGTAATTCCGGTTGTAGTCACTGGAATTTCAGCTGCTTGCATCACTGTTTATGGTTTTATGCAGTTGGGTTCTTCAAAACCATACACAAACTAATGCTACTTGGAAGTCTGCTAACCAAATTCATGCCTGATCTGATGTCAATCAGCCTTTAATGGGGGTAGTGCTTTCTATCCTCTTCTGGTTTTCATCAAAAGGTGCCAAAATTTATCCCCTTTGCCATTCAGCAAACCCTGTAGGGCTTGCAGGCTTAACCTGTGCTATGGGAGCAAGCGAGAGGAACCACCAGACAGCGGGGTTACTCATCGTGGAAGAGTCCCTGTCTCCTTGACCAAGCATAGCTCCTTCAGCACACGTTTTCCTCTCTCCTCACCTCTACGCTACGGCACAATATTTCCCTTGCTCTCTCTCTCACTATCTCTTTTCTGTATCTCTCGGAAATCAGACTGGAGTTCAGAGCACTTTCACTACCTTTTATGAGGTAGAGTGTGATGTCATAGATGGGGGCAGGGCTAGTCAACTTTCTACCCACCCACCCACCTGTGCTGAGGGAGCTACGCTTGAGGCCGGAAGCAGTGACTCCTCGACGGTGAGTAACCTCCTGTCTCATCTATATCTTTAACTCTCTCTGTGGATCTGGGGGTGGAGGGAAGACATGAGAATGGGGGATTTTTTTGTTAGCCTTTTTTTTTTTTTTAATTACCCATGAGGCTCACTGAATGTACTGCATGTGTTGTCTTAGTTACCTGCGAAAAGTCGTTTCCTTCCTGTTCTGAGGTCCTAGAGTTAATGTCATCTGTAAAGCAATGATCACATTTCTTTACAGAGATGGTCCGTTTACCTGTGACTAAAGTGGTCCTTCTACGTTTATCTTGCGTTGTGAAAAGGCAGACTCCGATCCCTTCAATTGCTAAACTTCCATTGATTTAATTACAGTAGTGCTGGGCCATCATTTTTCGAAATTATTTGTGATTCAAGACATTTGTGATTAAAGACAGATGATACTTATCATTGTTGACTGTGGATAATGCCGGTTTATACGTGACAGGATTTCTATTTTCTATGTTCTCTGTTAACTGTTTTTATTTGCTTTATCCAGAACGTTTATGAAGCTATGTGTTAACACTAAGCCAGTTATAAGACCTATTTTATAGATGAAATGAAATTCACAAGTAAATTGTGGCAGATGTAAAATTAAGCAAGAAATCAAATCCCAGGAGATGGAACTGATACTTAACCTTTGAAATTATAAATCAATGCATTTGATTTTTTTTCGGTGATAAGAACTTCAAATGGGCAGGGATATTGCTAACGGAATTTCTTGGTGTTTTTCTTGCGTCACTACCTGAACATTACAATTTTGCTTTAAAGCACTGTCTTGTTACCTGTTTCTCTTGGCCCCAAGTATTACTGCTTCACTGTTTTAATATCCCTCAGCATTTTAAAAAAGACAAGATGGACTGTGAAGATCTTTTCTTGTTCTGCCTCTTGGGTATCTATTAAAGCTGTCAAGATGTCAGAGCTCTCATACTAAAGGGCAGAAGGAGGATCATATGAAGATTTTGGCCCTAGGGATACTGCAAATCTTGCTGTTCTTGTTCATTTAAAGCTCTTTACCAGCTCTATGTGGAGTCTTGTCATATCTCAGTGAAAGGCACTAAAAGGCAGCAATGCATACTCTATAAATCAAAGACAAGGAGAGTGCAATCACAGCCTTTTCAGCAGAGGTGGTCCATAGTCTGATTGATGAAGTACTTCTATTTTCAGGTGAATAGGTGGCTTTGAGGAATTGGGTATAGGATGCAGACCGTTCCATCTTCTGGTCAGTGGCATGTATTGGGGACTGGTCGGTAGTGATGGATAGATATTCCTCCCTGACGACTCAGGGACGCTCTTTGTATCAGTGCATAGGAGATCTGAATGAAATTCTGGGAGGATGAAAGTGTTGTTTACAAAGCTACCAAAACTTTCACTAATGACTGTTTCCCTTCCTGTCAGAGAGAAAAATAAGGACAAAGAATATAAAACTTGGCTCCCTGACAAGTGGTAGCTTTTCTAGCTGTGAATAATGTGTGCAAGGAATTTTATGACCACTGCTTATTCCTTTAGTGAACTAAACAATGAAGTCCCAAAATCTTCCTTTGCAAAGGCAAGAACTTGTCTAGCAAATTTAGCTTCCCTAGCAAACTTCGATCTTTTCAGTAAAAAAGGAAAAGTGGGTTCGTCAATCTCTAACGTTTCATTGGAAAAACTCTATAGGAATTGCTGCTGTTAAAGATGATTTGAGGTTTGTTCTTTTCAGAGGGAAATGCTTTGAGGTAAAATTTAATTTAGATCCTAAGCACATCCTCTGCTGATGAGTTTACAAAATTGTCTTTGCACATAATTATTCAATGCAGGAGACTTTAATTTTGCACAGAATTGGTAAAACATAAGGACCAACTGTACAGTGCCCATAATCTCACTTCAATGGTATGAAAGCATTTTGGTGGCATAGAGAGGGAAACTTTTTAAAAGTGATATAAGGATTGGGAACAGGAAATCAGCATTGGTTTCATTCAGTAATTATGGAGAATTAGAGATAGTGGTCAGCACTGACGGGATATTGTGGCACAGAGATGTCAGTGGATTACTTTAGATCCAGAGAAATTTAGTCTCTAAATTTATCTTGTAAAATGAGCAAATTAGCAGTTGGCTGACTTATGTGTAGGGGGGAGTTTGTAGAGGGAATGATATTCAAAATGACATAAACTGTTGAGATAATTAACCTGGAATCTGTCTGTGACAAATCTAATAACATTTTTTTCTCCATGCAACCCCAGGATGTGAGTTTGCCTGAGTAACATAACACCGGGAGAATAAATAGCCTAATTTTACATTTACTGAGCTAATTCCCCTGTTAAAGTATTTTACTGGCAGCTATGATTAAAAAAAATTAAAATGTCTAAAGTGCACAGATTTCTGTATTTTACAGCTTTGACTTAAATGTGTGTTCAGTCAATTGCGATGTTTGTTTTAACTGTATGTTATTAACATATACGTAAATTGAAGTAAAAATAAGGCCTAGATTTCATCTGATTTTATTTAGTGTGTAATATGAAAACTTTTAAAGGAAATATCTGAGCAACTTCTTCCAATATATGCTAATTTAAATGAGTTAAATCTTTGTGTTTTGCAAAGTGAAAGTTACTTTACAATAAGGCAGTCTTTAAAATTGTATTGGTTTACGTTAGCAAGTGCGCTGGGTATTAGTGACACAAAGCAAAACCAGTAACTAGTATATTTACACCTATATATTTAAGGAGGTCAGCATTTAAGTTACAGATTTGTTTCTCAGTCATACTGTCAAGGGATGAGCAATACTTTAATGATGTAAGATCGTGTATAGGGATCAAACATTTTTTCAGTATGATTAAGATGGCTGTGTAATATTCCCAAATTTTCTGTATTTGCCAGGCTGATTTCTCTTACAAGTTGAATTAAAACTTTGTGGGTTGGTTCTTACCTTCTTTTTTATATGAGAAGTGAGGGAGAGCTGTGAAATGCACCATCTGTTCGCAAACCGTGTCAGCTGGCAGATAGATGCTTATCACCTTGCCCTCTCTTACTGCAGTTTTAGGCTGGTATAACACCATTGACTCAAAATGAATTACTTTTGCTTTAATCTTGTTTAAGCAAAAGAAGTCGCAATGATAGTGCACAGCATTCTAGAGGACTTTTTGTGTTGATTTAAATTGCAATCCTTTTAAACTTCGACCTCAGCTCATTTGAATTGTCAACAAAAATGCTCAATAGCACTTGGACTAAATATAGTGGTTGGAGGAACTAGGACTGCCTTAGCACCCCGGGCTTTCTGTTTCTGGGACAGTTGCATCTCAAAGACTTGAAGAGATTCTGTTCAGTCATAATCATTTGGATGATGTACCCTCATAAAAACTGAAAACAGAAGCAAATACTATCATTATTTCCCTTCTGCAACTGAGAATACTGAGCCACACTCAAGGCAGAAAAGATCTATGGAATCCTGATGAGTTTCAAACGTGATATCCCCCTTCAAGACTCGGATAATTTTCAAGACCAGCATTTCTCTGTCTTCCATTCTGTATTCCAGTCTCCACTCTGGATGACCAAAAGAAATAAAATTGGGAAGAAAAAAAAAAAACAAAACACACAAAAAACCAACAGGAGAAAGAGTTCACTGTAGTTAAGGAGTACAGTTTGAAAAAGATAGAGTTGGAAAAGAAGTTTTGCAGTAACAGGGGGAGGCTACCCCACTGAAGTTGTGCAAAGGATGAGAGTAGGTCTGTGGTGTAATGAAAACTGAGGTTTTTATTAGTCAGAATGGTTTTAACTGAATTATGAAGAGGTTTTTGACTATTATCTCCATTGCTATGTGGAGAGCAATTCAACTAGCCAAGTGTAAACATCTGCATCTGAGATGTTGGCTCCAGGCGTCCTTTATAGCTAGTGGAGATCAACAGCCATTTCTAGAGAGCACATATTCTTATTTCAGGTAGACGCTAACAATCAGTTAGATTAGTACATCCTAAAAATATTTACAGAGGCATGGGCAGGTGAATTAAACCATGTACTCAGACAAGCATAGAGCCAGGTGGTTTAGCCTTGGGGGTCTTTTGAGAGTATATATTCCTGTGTAAGTGATGTAACTGTGAACTTAGCTGCTGGAGAAAGGAGACTGCCTAGTTTTTTCTGGACAGAAATATTTAAAATGTTTTGTTATTAGCATTTATCTATGTAAAGTAGCTCTTTCAGGGCCCCAATCTTACTCGTTTCTGTAGGTTGGAGAGAATGACATGTTTTGTAGTGTGTGGTTTTCCCCCATTTGACGCTTTCAGGGATCAAAAGAGAAGAATTAAGGAAAACAATCTCAAAAATATTCATTAAGTTTGTTTGAACTCTTGGACTACTGGGTCAAATCCAAGCACAATTTCTTTGCAGCTGTTGAGCATCTCTGCCCAGATTAACTGTCTTTAGGATTCTAATGCAATTCAGGATCTCTATAATTAAAAAGGTGAGATACTCTGGCCCATCTCCATAGGAAATGAACCTGTGAAAGATCAAGTGCTCCATGGTTCCTGGTCTTCTCCATAAGCACAGAAGCAGCCTGGAATGCCTTGATCCAGCACATGGAATTGGGTAGGATGAGTACAGGATAAGACTTCATTTATAGAAACGGAAACTCTGAAAGCCTTGCCTAGGTCACTGAACACATTGCCTCGATGGTTTTTATGAGCAGCCCTATTTTTCTTGCCTGCATTCCTAAAGAAATTGTTCAATTACAGACATCTGAAAAAATGCTTCTGGGGGTTCTAGTGCCACCAGCTATGAGCAGTTCTTGGATCCTGACTAATGTTATTCAGTCACAGTTTTTTCTGGTGCAAGTGCAGGCAAGTCTATAGATAATCATGACTAACGTACAATATTTAAGTAGGAGCTTTATAAGAAAAGAGCCAGTGCAAATGCTTTTTCGTTTCACCATTCTTCTAAATAACAGCTGAGTTTATACCTTCATCTCCTTTACATAAATTGTGGATTAGAGGGA